AGACAGCACTCACTTCTGATCTACTATTGACTCATTTTGATCCGAACTTGGAAATCCTCGTTGGCTCGGACGCTTTCAAGTACGGTATCGGCGCCGTTATTTCCCGTCACTTTCCGAACGGAGGAGAGGAGGCTATTGCATAGGCAGCACGGTCCCTAACATCGGCCTAGAGGAACTATAGTCCGATTTAAAAGGAAGCCCTCTCAATCGTTTTCGTTATGAAGCGGTGCCACAAGATGTCCTATGACAGGCATTTCACCCTCCTTACTGCTCATAAGCCATTGATGTTGATATTCGGCTCAAAGAAAGGAATTCCCGTTTTTACCGCGAATCGGGTACAAAGATGGACGACTATACTGTTGGCGTACGATTTCAGTATACAGTATCGACCTAAGCAACACCTCGGCCAAACGGATGCCCTTTCTCATCTCATCAATTCGCACCCAAAGGAGTACGATGATTTTGTGATCGCAACCATAAAGTTCGAATCAGAAAGCCAACGAATCCTTCCCGATAAAAACAAAAGATTACCGGTGACAGCTGACACTATTCCTGCGGAGACTTCCCGGGACAGAACCCTAGAGAAAGTGATGCATTCTGTGTAAACAGGTTGGCCAAATGGTGGTATCCCTGATAACTTGCGGCGATTTTTCAACCAACTTGGATCACTATCCGTTGTGGACAATTGTTTGATGTTTGGCGACCGGGTGGTGGCGCCAAAGAAATTGAACAGGCAAGTTTTACAGCAGTTTCATACCGGGCATCCAGGTACCAATCGTATGAAAGCCTTGGCACGCAGTTTTGTTTCTAGGCCCAGAATGGATTCAAAATCGAATAATTTTGCCAAAAATGTGAATCCTGCCAACTGGCGGCGAAGGCCCTTCCCAAGTGCCCCTGGTGACCTTGGCCCAAATCAGAGAAGCTACAGCAGCGAATCCACTTAGATTATGCAGGATCATTCGCCGGTCAATCCTATCTCGTTTTGGTGGACTCTTTCCAACTGGCCCGATGTGATCCCGATGCAAAGTACAACTACCCAGTACACGGTCAACGAGCTGGTTAAGCTGTTCCAGTATTTCGACCTGCCAGAGATGATAGTGACAGACAACGGCACACGATTCACTTCAACTTCCCCTCGCGATTGGTGCAGCAGATGTTCTCACCACTATATCATCCACAATCAAACGGACAGGCGGAATGACTCGTAGATACTTTTAAACGTGCCTTTTGTAAAGCGGGACCAAACAAGGTCGCATGTATCGGAATGCGCCTTACTCAAATGCCCCAGATGGAAGAGCCCCTGCAGAAATTTTATTTGTACAAAGATCCGAACATTGTTCGACAACCTTGTGCTAAGCAGAAAAGAAAAGCATTGTAGTTGTCCAGTAGAGGAAAATCTAACAGACAGGCTCCATCATTTCAAAATTGTTGACATGGTGTTCGCGCGAGACTTCTGAGGACCGAGGAGGTGGTCAACAGGAAGAGTGATCCACAGAAAAGTCCGAGTCATTTACGAGCTAATGGTAGGAAATGAGAAATGGGTCAAGCAAGCCAATCAGCTGAAGCCGAGTCACAGCAAGACTCAAAGTTCCTCGGAACCACCATCCTTACACTGTGGGACATTCTGTTAGACGCATTTGATTTGGAGGAGGAAGCTGAGCGGCTACGTGGATCACAACATGAGATGCAAGCAGCAGATGACGCACATTGTAGGCCGACCCTAAAGCGGGGACGACCACAATGGTTACAATTCGATCCCAAAGCGAAAATCTATGAACAAAATTGAGTTCGAACAGTACGCTGTCATTCTCAGTTCGAAAGGGGAGGTAATAAAGGCGTAATCGGAGCACCTAGGCTGTCCGCTACATGCAAAGGTCATCAGCACGGGCGTGCTACGTGCTTTGACCTTTCCGCTAAATTTTGGAATCGAGTGAGAATTGATCGGCCAGCAAATACCAGCCCGTGTTAATTGAATCGAACTATTCTGTCAATGTGATAAACCTGTGGAGTGAAATTCACTCACACTGACTGAAAACCAGACGCAGAAGTGAGTGACCTTGGCCTCCTAAATTAGCCTGTTTCGTCTACCAATAAATAGAGTTAGCCTATCCTGTAGATATACTCTCTGTCTACCGAGTTCTGGCTTTTGTATTCCTTCGGTTGGTTGGGTACCTGACGGAGTAGTCAAACAGTCGCAATCTCACAATCTCAGCAGTACAGCAGTTGTTAGTAGCAGAGAGCAGAGGGAAAGAAGCAGGGTTACAACGATTAGGATGAATCATTCAGCATGGACGGCAGTTGGAGTCACCTTATGTTATTTTCAAGCATTAAAAGGAATTGATCAAGCACATGAACGCTACTTACTTCGGCGCTACGCCATATTCCCTTAGGTTTTTGCCAACCGATGTGGCCCACATCATGGAAAGTGACGCTCAACGACTGTGCTTACCCTTGATGTGGGCTTCTTCATCCTTTATCACCTTATTGTCTTCTGCCTGCTTCGTGATTTCATGCAACTTGGAGCGTCAGTAGTAGACATTGATCACCGAGGCAGCCGGATAGGAAGCGGTTGGACCTTAACATACACTTCATCTTTGCAACGTAGGGCCTGGTGTTAATTGTGTGGACTTCATTGTCACCCGCTCTGTTCACCTGTGATATATGGTCACTGTTTCGCTATCAGGCTCTTCATATTCTCTGCTCGCGCTTGTCAATTTCTCTCACTGTTATGGTATCACTAATCGCTACGTTTCACTGCAAACTTTCTGCTAATACTAAAGCACATATCAGTCTCTGTAATTCATGGTAGGGTCGCAAAAGCACGTGAGTCTTTGTAATGCTCACTGTAATCTCTTCGGTTGCGTGATCGTTGGTGGGTACTTAACCCGAGCGACCACCTCGAACCTGATCACAAAGAGCTGTGTCATCTCTGTGCTCTTTAGTTTTCCAGTTATTCACTTTACTAGTCCCGAGAGTCAAACAAGGCAACTGGGACACCCTTCGTATAAGTTGTTGTTTGGTCGACCGCACATGACAGCACCAGGATCGACTCTCTGATTATATTTTGACGTATTTGGCGGCATCAACAGACGGAGAGTCTCGTTAATTTGGATACTGCGAAGCAATCATATATCTTCCTTCTCATCAATTGTGTTACGCCAAGACGAGATCAGAAAACACGGCTGCGTAGTAAAACGGTTATTCTGATAAACCATAAGAACAACTGTACACCAATGGAAAACGATGCGCAGGCTAAAATTGCGTTAGTCAAACGGGCACGACAAAAATCACCATTCACTATGGCAGGCGTAATTAGCGGCTGGTACCGTGCATCAGGGTGTTTAACCGTTTGGTCGTTTTTCGCCGAAAAGCACTATGTATGCATGTTGATTTCTAGAAGTTTACTTTTATTTAGTTTGCCTCCTTCGCATACCCGCTGACCACCCACTATTTATAGACACCACATCTGGTTCGACAGTATCTCGAGGCTGTTATTCGATGGCACAGCTAAGCAGCGTGAAGACTCGGTTGCAAGACCGAGTCGGTTTGACGCACCTCTTACTTTTGTATATGATCCTCGGAGCTGACGCGATGGTTGTTGGCACGACACTTACATACCTCTTCTGTCCATCTTACTCGATTTTTATTTTTATTTTCTTTATATCTGCTATCATTATTCTTAACTCGAAATGAGTCGCGGTGATTACGTTCGTCTCACCGGTGCTGTGATCGCAGTTTTTCGTGTAACTATCCCCTGTTCTCTTCGCTGCGCTGATCTTTGTACCTTGACCTGGTTTCCTCATTTACGCTAGCACCACGATTTGGCATACATTTGATGCAAGCACTCATTTGCTCACTTCTGCTTCCTCTGCAAACCGTTCATTTAAATTTTGCGCCCATACTGGTTTCGCGTTTAAACGCAGTCCGTTCAGCATGATTTAACTATCCGGATATGCAATTTGCCTGAGTCGCTTATTAGCTTGTTTATTTATCCACACACCCCTACTCATCAGGCAATGTTATTTCACCGATGCATGCTTCAGTTTGTTAGTTTATTGGTCACGAACTGAGACCTTTTAATGTAATCGTTTCACAATCTAAAAGGCTAACTGCTTGGTGGCACACTCCTGTGACTCCTCTGTTCTCTCAGATAATGCGGCTGTTGTCTGTGTAACTTAGTTGCTGACGTTAACTCTCCGCCAGCTTGTAATCACGTCCCCACTGCACAGACAACGTTTAGTTTTATATCCTTGGTAACTGTTCTGATTTTGTTAATGGTAACTTGGCAGTTTAGACAAAACATTAACTTGTAGCTCACCTACATCACTGCTCCTTACCTGCTTGGTACCTTCCTGCAGAGGGTGCCATTGTTGCGAATTCGGACCCAGCCAAGCCCCACAAAACAAAAGAAAAATTTCTTACAATAACCTCCCATATGATTATCGAGGTGTACAGCATTGTTCAATATTGCTTCAGATTATAGTACTCAGCAAGCAACCTTCTTGAACATCTTGAGGCAAGCAATTGCTCTAGCGTTCGTTCTCATTGGTTGGCCTTGAAGGCCCTACACTTCCATTTGGCTGATTCTGCTCGCCTCACGACATCTCATTTGTTGGCTCCTGACTAATCGGTTCAACCGCTGCTACTTCAAGTTTGCAGCGGGGAGGTAGGCGTGGATTATACGTATGGGTGAACCACCTTAATGCCCCTAACTATCCACCGTGAAGTCGGCCTTTGGCCGAATGGATTGTAAATTTGGCTTGCAATCCTTAGTTCACCGGTTCGGATCCGCGTAGAGACGGGCTTCCTCGCTACATAATCATCTCGCGCGCGTAACAGCCAAGTGTCGGTATTGTTTGATCTTTTTTGACTTTTTTTCTATCTGCTGTGAGGAGCCCTCAATGTGGCTTTTCACCGATGTTCAAACATATTTCCGCAGTTCCCTCCGCGATGTCCTCTGCTCCTAGCCCCTTTATCAGGCACGTATCTTTTCTTTTCAGGAAAAGTACCTTCACTGAAGTTCCTGACACGGTTGGCATTCCGGAAAGTCATTTTTACTTGTGATCTTGAAAAATCAAATGAATTACACCTACCAACTTCCTTATTGGATTATCTGTTATTTAAGCGGCTTTACTGATACTTTATACTTTGTTATTTTCTGCTTTATTCCATATTTTATCTTACCCTTTGGCGTTTGTGATCATTTATTTGTTACCTATTGGGTCCATTTCTACGCTTCCCATGACCAGCAACTTGTTGCTCCGTTGTTTTTGTTTTGCTTTCAACTACTTATAAGTAATTCACTTTTAATCTCACAGTTGTTTCGTTCATATTGGTAATGGCGGGATGCCCGCTTTCCAGACCCAGCAAGTGGTTCCCACAATATGCATCGGCTATGAATTCTTCCTTTTGGTTATCATCTCGTTGATTACCATAGTGGGACTGGCACTTGATACAATACAACCACACCAAGTTGCACCTTCCGGATGGCTCTTGACCGACGCAATGGTCACAAGTCGAACGCACATTATTACAGTGGAATGTTGGGTACAGTTTCGTGCTTCGATCACTGGGTGCAGCGCTTTGCGTGTACAAGTGCAGTTTGGTTGACAGAGCACAAACATCACTAGTTTTCTTCTGCGGTCGAGAAGCGCACTATCATACTGCCATCCGCTTCAAACCACCCAGTTTCTGGTTGATAAATTAATTGGTTAGTTAAATAATTAAATACATAGTCTTATTCTCCATAGAACGAGACATGCGAGTACAGGCTTGTTCAAGTGGTTGACAGAGCACCAGGGACACAGTAAGCGTATGTATATCAAACGGTTGAGGTGGCTGTTTGAAAATACGTGACTCGAAACATTGTTCATATTTTTCGCACAGGAATGCTTCAAAAATGATGGGCATGCTCATATATGTCAGAAAGGAATGTGGTGCAGAAACGCGATAGGATCTATAAATGTTATTGTTATGGAAAATCTGAGTGAGGGTTTGGAATGCTTCTACAGATTGTTCTCCAATTTTTCCGCAGGCATAGGAACCTGAGAAGATACTTGATATGCGCTGTCGTACGAGAGGTTGAAGTTTCAGGGTTATATACAGTGGCAAGGATTTACTTGTGCATACGCCGCGGTGGTCATGATCTTCAGATATTGAAATCGTGGCCAGTGTGAAGCATTAGGCAGTGACTTTATTTTGGTGGCGAGTCACATACGCCACGTCGGAGTGCTAATAAAGTCAACGGCCATCAACCATAATAGTAGTAGTTTTCATATAATAATCAAAAAGCCTACCATAACTATCTCAATTTTACCAATACTTCCTGCAAATGATGTTATGCGTATCTGCTGGCTCATTCTACCGACACGTCACTGTCCGGTTGATTGGGAACAATGTGTTGAGACGGAAACATCTGAGAAAAACTTTTCTCAAAACGTGCTATCAGAGCAAACTCTATCGCCACCACACTTTTCTCTTCTCTCTCCACCTGTACTATCCGCGTACCCAGTTCGTCGGCCAAACCAAACGCGTTGCTGATCGCTATGTTCGCACCATATGTCAAAGTGATCGGCATGTCATTATACTTTCCGGGGTTATCTTGTATATCCAACATGCATAATAATACCGGTAGCATCTTCACACACCCTTGACTACGCCATCACTGGTGTCTCATCATCGTCATCATCATTGTACACTTTTAGCTGCGGGTGGAAAAATCTCAGCTATTTTGTCGCAATACCAACAACAAGGACAAAAATAACAACAGTGGTACGCCGGCTGAGTCCCCAGTAATGGATGGACATCGTTCCGGAGGGCTAACAGCCGGCTATCGTGCCGCAAAAAGAGTTAGGCCTAACGAATGGGATCGTGATTGTAAGGGGAGGATGGACAAAGGAACTCACAACACACATCACTGGTGTCTACATTCTTCGCATCTCTTATGCTACCGATTGACTAACTCAAGGTATATGCAGTGTCAGTTTTACACACTACTAAATCTATTACGCCGATGCTCGTCAGCGGTTTTTTTTGAAAAACCGACATACGCGGCCCGGACTCGAAACTCCATTTTACGCAGGGTGCTATCCTCTATGATACGATGTCTTTCCTCATTGTTTCAACATATGCTCCCACTGGATTTGACTCGTAAGCCGTCAGTAGCGCATTCTACCACCACCCATGCAGGCACATATACGGGTGCCGTACCCGTTATTGGCGATCTGAACTTAACAGTAACGTCCAATGATACTCGGTACGCTTCTAGTAGTTCTTTTCAGTGTAGTCGCTTGTGCTGCAAATGGCGATCTACTTTTTCGTTGCGCTTCTCATATGCATTCCGCTACCTCTCCCCATAAGGCTTCACGTCGTGCTTCGTAGCGCTCACCGAATGAAATATTGCTTATATGACTCTAGACTTAATTTTCACGTCACTTGTTCCTAGACACTTTACTCTTATCGCCGTCAAACCAGGTGCATCTTATTTTATTACACAGCAAAATGCATTTGTTGAACTGAAAAAGAGAGTTGCGTCTGCTACTTTAGTTGCCATTTTTGACGAATCTTGCCTCATCTTTGTGCCCACTGATGCGTCTGATGTCGGTCTCAGAGCTGTCTTCTCACAAATACAAAACGGAGAGGAGAAAGTTCTTGCCTACGCATCACGAAAGCTATCAGATTCCGAACGTCATTATTCCGTTGGGGAAAAAGAAGCCCTTGCATGTGTGTGGGCCTGTGAAAAGTGGCATTTATTTCTGTTCGGTTGTCGTTTTATTCTGCATACTGATCATTCAGTCCTAACAGCCCTTCTCAGCAATGTATCTAAAGATCTCGCCCAATGCGAATCGATTGCTGGTATGCCAGTCACTTTAACTACGATTTTGAAATTGTGTACCGGCCAGGTTTGCAGAATCAGATTGCTTACGACCTATCTCGCTTACCCGTGGGGTTGGAAGATGAAAAAGAAAGACTCAGAAAGGCGGTCCTAGTTTCCAGCCTCGGAGCTAACCTGTCTGCCTTGCCGATCGAGGAACTACGAAGGGAAAATGCTAACGATCCTTTACTGCATGATATCAAGAATAACAAAATCCCCGGTGGGTTCATTCCGTATTGTGCAATCCGACAGATAGATGGTTGCCCGATGCGTAGTTCGGTGTTTGTAGCTCCGCCCCAGTTGATAGCCAGCCTAATAGCTTGCGCACATAAGGGACATCCAGGTATAGTTCGGACCAAAAATCGAGTGAGACTCTATTTCTGGTAGCCACGAATGGCATCTAGCATTGAGACATTTGTGGTCAGTTGCACTGCTTGCCGATTAGCGGACAAAAGTTCTTTACCCGTTAAAACCCCGACACAGCCAATTGCTTACCCGATGAAATCATGGACCGAAATCGCCATTGATATTATGGGCCCTTTCGCTACTGCTCCTACGAATAAGCGAAATCTACTTGTTGCTACATGTTTTTACAGTAGATGGCCTGAAGTACACATGTGCGACCAAGTTACTACTTCGGTTGTGTTACCTTGGCTTAAACACTTGTTCAGCCGTTTCGGTTTACCGCATGAAATAGTAACGGATAACGGGCCACAATTTTGTAGCCGCGAATTCGCAGATTTTCTACATTGCCATAATATTAAGCACTCCCGAACTGCGCCCTACAATCCTGCAGCCAACGGCATGGTCGAGCATTTAAACCGGTCTCTAAAAGAAGCTATACAAGCCATACACGTAGGAGGTTCGGACTGGGAGGATGCAGTTTTAACCGCGGTATTTTCCTACAGAACATGTGACCACAGAGCCACCGGAAGAACGCCAACGGATCTGATGCTAGGAAGGCGCTTACGCACAAAGTTAAATGCTGTACATAACCTTTTTTAGAGAGAGATGCCTAAGTTTCAAATCGCAAAGCATCTTACCAAAATTCCTACGCTAAAGCATCGATACCAATGCAGCCCGGCACATACGTTCGCGTTAAAAGCAGGGTGACAAAGAAAGACACACCTTCGCTTTGCGCTCCAGGGCGCATTGACCGTACGCTTGGCCCGGGCACCTATCGACTGGAGAACGGCCTAATTGTCAATGCGCGTCGACTCCACCCAGCTCACGGATCAGCTACTCAGCCCGACCGATCTGCGCGTGAAGACCCGGCTGAGTTACCATTACCATGACGTCAGCTGCGTCGGTCTGCAAGGACGGTGAAACCTATTGATCGCTACGAACCAGGTTGAGGCGGCGTTTCGGAGGGGGGAACGATAGTGTGGTAACTATGTGAACAAGATCGATTGGCTCAATCTCATTGGTTGGCTTGCCCACTCATTCCTACCTTACCATTGGTCGTGTCTCTGTCGTTTGTCTCTCCGTTTAACGAGGGATTGAGACTTAGTTGTACTTGGTTTTTTACGAGATACATTTTTACCTGTCTGCGGCTTTCTTGATACAGCACTATGTAACCCAAATAAAAGTCTCGTGTTGCTGCCCAGGTGCTTTGTTTCATGAAAACAAGTATAATGTGACCCGAAATGTGGGTCATCTATGCCCAGCTGAGCCTTCAGTCGGAAAGTTGGCGTGATATGTGAGTTAGGGAAATCTGCAGCAACCACACAGTAGATACTACTGGCCTCATCATTTTCCCTCCTATTTCTATCCTCAAGTTTGTTGTCTGCTTTAGGAATCGAGGACTGGTGTTATTATTTCACTGGTCGACCAGTGAACTGCATATTTTCCTTGCGTGTTTCGATGTCTCCGGTACGTTCTCCATACCGCACCTTGTTTGCGTGCGTCGGTGTTGGTTGGAAGCGACGGAGAACTAGCTAACATACACTCTTGGTCTGAGGTATTAAGGTGCTGACATTGTAGTTGGCTACAGTACGGCGTTCCAGACTCCTGGATTGCTACGCAAGGACATTGGGCACACCTGGTTGGAGACGCTATTGGATATGGCCGGGAATCGTACCCAATTTCGGTCATCTTCCGAGTCTTTACCTCCCACTTCCTTTTCTCCCCTTGTTGCTACCCATGTATTGTGACACGTGACCTATTGTCTATTGATCAATGTTAAACGAATTTTATATATATATATATATATATATATATATATATATATATATATATATATATATATATATATATATATATATATATGGTTGGCGGCATCCGGTTTCGGATTTGCCTGTCACTGTGGCAAGCCACAGGACGCCTGCGCCTACAGAGGGACCATGGATGGCTTGCGCTGCACCACCCACAGCTCCAACCACACACCCCATATCCAGTGTAAACCCGAAGGAATAAGACCGGGAGGCATGCGGATGGGAACCACGTTTCATCAACGGAGCCGGCCCACACTCCTTCACAGGCAAACACACGCACACTGTATTTGGGGAATCAAGCGCACACAAGGCGGTGGCTGGACC